TAATTAATGTTATGAATTGATAGTTATGTTTGTATAACTAAATATCACGTGAACACGTGATCTTGTACTACTGTTTCGCGACTAATTAATGTGTGTTACTGGTTATAAATATTTGCTAAAAGTAATTATTAAATTGTTACTATTTGTTATATGAACTAATATTAAATTCTAAATGTTAATTTAAGGGTTATTATAAATTATTGCAGGTGTTTTTAATATTATTTTATCATTATATTTTCATTCTGTAACAGCAGATCTGATCAAGATTTTTTTTTATTATGTTATTTTCCCAAAAGTTTTCAAATTTTCCAATCATTAATGAACATTCGTTTGTATAGTTGTTCACAATAATATTTGGAATTGTTGATGTGTTTACTCTGTTTTTTATTTGTTTATTTTTTTCCATTTCTGATATGTCCTCGTAAATAGCTCCCATATATGCATATAATATAAATATATAAAATATTAAATGTATATACTTTTGACTTTTTAATTTTAGTAAAAGTTATAAGGCTATTAAAGATAGTTCAACTTCTACATTAAGGGGCCATATTGCTTGTGAACATAAACAATTGAATTCAGAAATATCTACTTCAAGACCATTGGATAAATTTGTTAAATCAAAAACAACATTGGTATGTATAAATTTTTTTAATATTATATTAACTGTACAACTTTACCAATTTCGATCTTGTGAATTGCTTTTTAAACTCTATTTTTATCACTAATTAAACTTATTTATTACATTTAGTAGTATCATTGTTTAATATTTCATACAAATTGAACAAATACTCACGAAGAAATTAACATTTTTTAAAATAGATTAAATTGTTAATTTTTCCGTGAATATTTGTTCAATCTGTATGAAAATTTAAATGGAGATATTACTAAATGTGATAAATAAGTTTAATTAGTGACAAAAATAGAGGTTAGCAAGTAGTTCGTGAAAGAGAAACAGATTAATCCTTTAAACTTTATTTTTAATATTAATTTTAAATAAATAATAGATATTTACTCAAGAAAATTGAATTGAAGATTTGATAAATTGGATTGTAGCTGATGATCAAGCTTTTATTGTTGTTGATAAAGAATCATTTAAAACTATGATAAAAAGACTTAATCCAAATGCTAAATTACCTACTAATAATACTATTCAAAACAAAATTCTCAAAACTTTTGGAAATGAAAAAAAAGAATTAAAGAAGAATTATAAGAAATTTCCTGTTGTATTTCTTTTACTTTAGATGCATGGACTTCAAAAAATCAAATACCTTTTCTTGGAATAAGTGCTTATTGGATTTCTTCAAACTGGAAATTAAAAAATACAATTCTTGATTTTCAACTATTAGAAGAAACACATTTAAATAAAAATCTTGCAAGAGTTTTTTTTAATACAATAGAAGAATATGAAATTTTGAATAAGGTTAGTTTATTTTGATTATATTTTGATTATTTAAATATATTTATTTATTAATATGTATTTTAGATGCTAGGAGTTACCACTGACAATACAACTAATATGGATATGATGTTTAATTGTTTGGATGTTTATTGTGCTGATGAAGGAACTACATTTAGCTCTGAAAATCAACATGTACAATGTCTTGCACATATTATTAACCTTGCTGCTCAAATCACTCTAAAAGTATTACAAGGTTTGGGACCAGAAAATGAACAAGATATATTACAAGAGTCTATTAGTGAAACTTCTTTAGGAGTTATTGCAAAATTAAGAAAATTGGTGGTTAAAATTAGGACCTCTCCATTACAATATGAACAATTTTGTCAACAATGCAAAGCTGTTAATATAAAGGAACTTCAATTAATTCCTGATATAAAGACAAGATGGAATTTCACATATGACATGATTGAGTGAGCAATATTTCTTTGTGAGGTAAAAAGGATTTATATTAATTATATTGATTTTTATTATTATCTAAATATATTTTTTTATTAGCCACTTCATAATATGGCATTTGTTGATAATAACCTTTCTGTATATTTGTTACAAGAGGAAGAATGGAATAAATTAAACAATATAAAAGATTTATTAAAGGTATAATTAATATTAAAAATAAATATTTTTTAATAAAATATATTAATTATAATTTATTATAGTGTTTTAAAAATGCTATCTTGGAAATAAGTATATTAAAATTTCCTACTCTAGGTCAAACTGTTCCAGTTTACAACTATTTATTTGATAATTTTGAAGAATTTCAACAAAAAAAGGAACTTTCAACTGATATGAATGATGCTACAAATCTTTCAATACAAAAACTTGATGACTATTATCCAACTTCTGATGGTTTAGTTTATATTGTTGCAACAAGTATGATATCTATTTATATTTTTATATATACTGTATATTTAAATTTAAATTTAAATTTTATTAATACTTTGTTTTATATTAATTAGTTTTGGACCCTTGTTTGAAACTGACTTATTTTAAAGAAAATAATTTTGATTCTAATTATATTAAAACATGTAAACAACAAATTACTGATTTATGGAAAAGAAAATACAAACCTAATGAAAATCAAGAATCAAATATATCAATTTTAAAATAAACAGCATTAACTAATCATATTTTCAAAAAGTGAAAAGTAGTATATAAAGATGAATTAGAATCTTATTTGAAAGAACCTGCATCTGATTTTGATATAGATTCATTATCATACTGGAAGGTATAATATTAAAATTGTAATAAGTTAATGTTAAATATTGATATATGTAATATATATTTTATTTTATTTACAGTTACATGAATTAAAATTTCCTTACCTTGCTAAAATGGCTTGTGATTATCTTTCAATTCAAGGTATAATTTTTAATATTATATAAATAATATTTCCAATTATTTTTTTAAATGCATATTTTTATTTTATTTTGAATAGGAACTAGTGTTCCTGTTGAACGAATATTCTCAGGAGGTACAGATTTAGGAGATGCAGTTTAAATTCAAATACCATTAGAATGTGCATGTGTTTGAAAGGTTGGTGGAAATTAGATAATGAAAATATTAATGAAATTAATGAAAATATTAGTGAAAATAATTAAATCATGTATAATTTTAAATATAGTTTTAAAAATTTATTATGAATAATTTTAAGATATTTTATATAATTATAAAATTAGTTTTGATTAATTTTATATCTATTTTTTCATTAATAAATAAAATATTCAATATAAAATTAATATGATCTTAACTGGTAATTTTATGATAAATAAACTCACCAGTGATGATTGTCACCACTGGGCAAAATTAAATTTACGTGTGAGACTTATTTAAACCGAAAATAACCGGTTCGGTTTCGGATTGAGTATTCATATCCCAGTTTCAAACCGAAACCGAACCGAACCTTCGAGAGCTTTACCTATAGCTGCTATTTCAGCAGTACTACTGTCGAAATAGCAGCTATAGGCAATCGTTACAAAAAAGATGACTCTATAGTTGAGAATGCTGAAGTTGATGAAGATGCTGTAAAATTATTTTTGAAAGAAAAGAATTTCCGAGGCAAAATAATTGGATCTTAAGGGTATACTAATGTAAATGGTACATTCCGTGACTCATACTTCCTAAGTACTTATAGAAAATAGAGGACATAGTCCATCATTTATAATATAGTCATAACTTTTTTCCAGGACTTCTAACGTGAATTTTATTTTTTTACAACTTTATATTTTTTTTTGAAACATTAACTTTATTACTTATTGAATGTATTCAAAGAAATATATAAAACAAATATTTATATACATAAATGATAAATAATAATTCTAATTTTATTTATTCTATCGAAAATGAAGAAAAGTGATAAGTAAGTCATAATTAAATGGTTTTCGTTTTATTATATCTGATCTTCAGAAGCCAACATTTGTTTACTTGTGTTCGAGAAAACTGACGCAAATAAATCTAATTGTTCTAATTTCATCACCTTGATGTTCCTGTTCGTGCATAATTCTTTAATTTTGTTTTATTGAAGTTACTCAAGAATTATTTGTTGTCCGGGTTAGTTGTTATTATTAACTTAAAGTGTTCATATACATAATATACATAATATATGTGTATGAAAAAAAAAGAAATCAGATGATTAATTGCAGATCGAAATCTCTAACAAAAGATCTAAACGATGTACAAAATTAATATTGCAGTAAACAAAGTGACAAGTTGCTTAATATGGTTATAATGACAGACATTATAATCACTGTGATAAATTTTAAACTATATATATATTTTCATTATACAGTATTTTTTTACAAAAAAAAAAAAAATGGTCAATAATGAAAAAATTTCAAATAAATTTGTACTTTCTATCGATGGTAAAGAATTAGATTTTGTTACTGGCATCCCTTATAAAATTTCAAACAAGGAAATTTACATAGATGATTGGGGTGGCAGTGATGGTTCATGTCCTTACCTTTCTTCTGATGACTATCCTCCAGTTAATTCCCATCATTCAAGGCAATTATGGGTTATCAAGGGAACGTCACATCCAAGAGAATACAAAATATTATCTGGTAGAACTAATTATTATTTGGATAGTAAGGGAGGTGGTCATAATGCGAAACTTTACTTAAATTCAACTGATTATTCTCCAGAAAATTCTTGTCATTTAAGGCAGATATGGTCTTTTAACTCTAGAAATGATTCTTTTAAAGAATTTCAGATACATAATAAACAGAATAATTGTTACTTAGATACTCGGGGTAAAGGTAGAAGCTCCTGTATATATTTCTGTTCTCAGCTTCCAACATTACCATTACTAAAAATTGCACGTCTCCAAAACACAAATTTATGGAAATTTACCCCTGCTTTTGATTACAAATTAAATGCCGTGATTAGTAAATTTGAGTATAACTTTTCTTTGGACATAAAAATACAACAAATTACTAAAACTATTCGTGAGGATTCTCTGGATAATCTGGCATCTTCAGCAAAACTTACTACGGATATTATTTTCCAAGAAGAATTAACTAACACATATAGCTTTAGTTTTAATGAATCTCTGGATTTTATTTCAGAAACAAAATTAAATAGTATTATTCCATTTGCTGGTATTGAATTGGAATTTGATTTTAATCATAGTTTTGAAGCTAATAAACCAATCGCAATCATAAAGAAAGAAACATGCACCATAACCGAAACAGTTGAAGTACCACCTAAATCATGTGTGAAAGCTACAGATTTTGTTGATTTCATGGAAAATATCGAAATTTCTTTTGAAGCTACCGCAGAAATAACGGCCGCAGGTGATCGTTACAAAAAAGATGGTACAATAATTAAGAATGCTAAAGTCGATGCAGATGCTGTAAAATTATTTTTGAAAGAAAATAATTTCAAAGGTAAAATATTCAAATCCGAAGGGAATTCCGTTCTAGCCAAAGTACGGGGTTCATTCCATGGTTCATATTTCCTAAAGGCTCATAGAAAATTAGAAGATATAGTTCCCAAGGTTCCTGAAAATACTGTGTGCAGTGAGAATTTAGAAAGTACACACATTTAACCATTTAACTTGAGTAAAAGATTTAGTAATATGATAAGTGATATAAAATAATTACGTATATAAAATAAAAAAGGGCTTATATTACAAATTTAAAGTGCGCAGATAATTTTAATATCAAAGCCTCGTTAGACAAGTTTCTTTTTTATATTAAAATAATTTGAAACCGCAAAAATCTATCGAATATAGTTAGTTAGTTATGATAAGAAATATAGTTAGTTAGTTATGATAAGAAAAATAGTTTTATGAAAGTTTTATTAATTTAAGTTTTTTTTTTTTCCAAAAACGCACATTATTTGTTTTTATTTATAACAAAATAAATCGATATTTCACAAGTTACTTAATTTGGGCATAATGACTTACATAATAAATTTTAAACTATATATATGCATACATAATTAATAAAATAATTCTTGCCTTTTTAAAAAATGGTCGATAAAATTTCCAACAAATTCGTACTTTCCATCGATGGTAAAGAATTAGACTTTGTTACTGGTATCCCTTATAAAATTTCAAACAAAGTAAATTATATAGATGATTGGGGTGGCAGTGATGGTTCATGTCCTTGCCTTTCTCCCGAAAACTTTTCTTCAAATAATTCCAAATATTTGAGACAGTTATGGGTTCTTAAGGAAACTTCTCATCCAAGAGAATATAAAATCTTTGCCAATAAAAATTATTTGGATAGTTGGGGAGGTGGTCATGAAGCGAAACTCCACTTGAATTCAACCGATTATCTTCCAGAAACACCTGGTTATTCAAGGCAGATTTGGTCTTTTTACTCTAGGAATGATTCTTCTAAAGAACTTCAGATACATAATAAACAGAATAATTGTGTTTTAGATACTTGGGGTAAAGGCAGTGGTTCTTACATCTATTTCAGTTCTCATTTTCAGGGTCCAACAGCTGAAAATTTTGCAAAACAGTTATGGAAATTTGTCCCAGCTTTTGATTACAAATTATATGCCGTGATTAAGAACTTTAAATATCAACTTTCTTCAGATATTGAAAAACAGAAAATTATAAAAACTATTCGTGAAGATACTCTGGATAATCTAGCATCTTCAGCAAAACTTACCACCGCTTTTAATTTTCAAGAAGAATTAACTAATACGTATAGCTTTAGTTTTAATGAATCTCTCGAGTATATTTCAGAAACAAAATTAATTGTTGTTATTCCTTTTATGAATATTGAAAAGGAATTTAATTTCAAACATAGTTTTGAAGCTAATAAACCAATCGAAACTATAAAGAAAGAAACATGTAACATAACTAAAACAGTTGAAGTACCACCTAATTCATGTGTAAAATCTACAGATTTTGCTGATTTTATGGAAAATTTAGAAATTCCTTTTGAAGCTACTGTAGAAATAACGGCTACGGGTGATCGTTACAAAAAAGATGGTACAATGGCTAAAAATGTCAAAGTCGATGCAGATGCTGTAAAATTATTTTTGAAGGAAAATAATTTCAAAGGCAAAATATTCAAATCTGAAGGATATTTTATTCAAGCTAAAGTAAAGGGTACACTCCGTGGTTCATATTTTACAAAGACTTACAGAAAATTAGAAGATCTACCAAAAAAAGTTAATGATAAACAAGACAAGAAATCAAAGTGAAGAAATGGTAGAGTTATAGACGACGACAAAACTTTGCCTATCGATGAATTTTTTTTTTCCCGTGTAAGATTTAGCAATACGCTTTTTATTTTTATTTAATTTTTAATTAGCATTGTTAAAATGTTTATATTATATAGTCAGTTCAACCATTTACAAAACATAAAAAATAAATTGAAAATAAATAAAATGAAGAAAAAAAAATGAAATAAAAGAAAATACAATAAAAAGGATGGGTTGTGAAACTAAAAATAAATATATATATATATATACAGCAAAAGAAAATGCGAATTAATATTACATAAGGAATGGAAAATAAATTTGCATTGTATAATCGAATGTCTCGAAAACACACACAAAAAAGGGAACTGTTCAAGTTATTATTATTATTATTATTATTATTATTATTATTATTAAACAAAATACAAAATTTAATTAACTTAATTCACTTAATCCATAAACCATCTCCTTACTACCAAGGTTGATCCTAATACCGGATGAAGTAAAACATATGATAAAAAATATTCTAAATCTTTACGTCGTCTTTCAATAAATTCTGGCATAAATTTTCCCATAACTTGTTTTGGTGGTAAACGTGGGATTAATTTTCGATATTTTGGTTGAGCTTTAATTAATTGAGATCTTAATGTAATAAACTCGGAATATCTTTTTCTTACTGTAATATGTGATCCCTAAAAAAAAAAAAAATTTATTATTATTAAATATTATTAAACTATTAAAATTATTAAAATTATTAAAAATATTTAAAATTATTATAAAATCTATTTTTCATACCTCTTGACCTTTAACTGAACAAGTATAAACTATATATGAACCATAGCCTGTACCTATTCGTATTGGATTACTGACATTAACTTCTTCTGCAAATAAATTTTTGGGTTTAGAGCGATAAAGACTAATTTGAAAATTTGATTTATCTGGTGGAGTAGAGGAAGATCTTCCAAATGAAAATGGTAAAAATGGTGAAGAAGAAGATGATGATGATATTATATCTGGATCCTCATAATCTTCATATTCGACCTATAATCCAAAAATATATATTAGAAAAAAAAAAAAAAGAATCAAACTGCTAAGTGATACATTCTAATACATTTTACATTTCAATATATTCCAATAAATTCTAATATAAATATAAAATATATTATGTACCCAACGAGTTAAAGAACTATCTTCCGGTACAGGATCAAGAATTGTTGGTAAGGAAAATACTGAACTTGATCTTTTCAATGGAGGATTGGATTGACCAAAAGAGTTTAAATAATTGTTGAAATCCATTTTCTTCTTATTCTTCTTAAGACAATAATCATTTTGTTGTATCTCAACAGCATCAACAAATTCTTCATTTAATTCTTCCGATTCATGAATTATTAATTGAGAAAGCTGTCGTGCAGCAGGGGAACAACTATTATTATTATTATTATTATTATAGTTGTTATTATTATTATTATTTTTATTATTATCAATCGTATTATTATTTTCTAATATTGGTAATGAAAGACTTGTATTATTGGCACTAGTTTGTTCTTGTGAAATACTTGTTGTTGTTGAAGCTTTAAATGGAGGTTTTAATGAAGCTTCTTTTTGTAATGATCCAAGATTACCAATGAATAAACGTACAGCAGTTGTACCTTCACTATCTATTGTATGACGTCTTCCTGGCGATTTCTGGTGTTGTTGTTTGATTCGACGATCTTGAAAAAGATCTAAAGAATCTGTGATAGGAAGTACAATACTGGAAGGTCTACTATTTGTTGAAGATTCTGATGGTGACGATAAATCTTCTCCATAAGTACGATTTTCATAAGGACTTCCATAATATGAAAAATCTTTTCCTTCTTCAGAATTTTCATATTCATCATAATACTTTTGTTTATCACCATCTTCAAGCTTTGGTACTTCATCTGATGCAGCTATATTTATTATTATCATCATCATTATTGTGAGATCGTTATCAATATGAAAGAAAGAATTATTATGAGAGAAAGAAGAAGAAACTTACATTCAATTCCTTTCTTCAATAGGGAAGATAAATGTTCCATTATGTCTTGAACGTAATCAAGCCAATTACCAGAAATATTTTCACCATAATTATTAATTTGATTTTTTACTTCTGATAATTCTGCTCTGGCTGAAGTAATTTCTCGGCGTAATTCCAATACTACATAAAAAGAAAAATAATATGGTGAATGAGTGAAATGTAATCAAAGAAAAATTATATAAATATTTTTTTTCGATTTATTTTTACCACGCAAAGATTTAGAAGCCAAAACAATGTCTTGAGATAAATTTTCAACGTCTTCCTCTTCGTCATTCCCCTTCAAATTTCTTTTGCGAATAAGTCTATCCGATTGTTCTTTTAACAATACTATAATTAAATAATTAAATAAAATATCAATAAAAGTTTAATATGATATATAAGATAGTATTGTAGGATGATAAAATAAATAAGTTTTAAATATATAATATGATATCGAAAGAGGGAGTAAAAAGCCTCCATTACAACAAAAGAGATGTATTACTTACAAGTTACATTGCTTGACAAATCTAAAAGATCTTGAACTTGACTTTGTAAATCCATTTATTATAAATGTATAATTGAGTATAATAGAAACTAAAAATGAACTGAAGAAGAAAGGGGGGGGGGGGGGGTTTTTGCAATATAAAACAAAGATAACAATGTCTTAAAAAATAATGTATGTAATATCAGATATATAATTAAATATATATATATATTATATATTATATATTATATATTATGCAAGAATTTTTAAAAAAAAATAATTTATATATTATAATATAGAAGATATAAAAAGAGCAAAAGGAATTCGGGCTTTTTTTTAAAAAAAGGGCTGTGACACATCATTACGTCATACACCGAATACCGTTTATATATCTTGGTAAAAGGTTTCTTCAAGTAAAAAGAATAATAAAAATAATGTCAATTATCAACATTTCTGAGCATTATTTTTCAAGCATAAAAAAGGAATTTCTACATATTTTAATATCTTTTTTTAAATAAATGTACATACATTAGAAGTGAGTGCTGCATCAAGAGCAAAAACGAAATTTGATAATGTAATAGACACGTGAATTAACAATGTTGTTTTATCTACCAAAATGCTAAAATTCTAAAATGCTTGCCTCATACTTGCATATTTTTTGATGAAACAAACATTTCCATATATAGTCAAAGGTTTTTTTTGATGTTGTGATACTCAAAATCGACCTATAATTTAATATTTTATTTATTTTATTATTTATTACATCGCGAAATTCATAATTACTTAAAATTGCTTTTTTTTTTAAGGGGCATTTTTATTTTTTTCAGGAGATTAAATACTATGTATGTAAAGATACGAGAAGATATACAAATAATTTTTATTTATTTTCTATCTTTCCGCATGTGTGTGTAACTTAACAACCAGTTTAAAAATTAGTTTTGAAATTTGATTTAAAAATTAGTTTATTTTTTAATTAAAGTAATTAAGTACTTAATTAAGGTAATTAAAGTAATTAAATAATTAAAGGTAATTAAGTTATTTAAAGTAATTAAGTTAATTAAAATAATCAAAAATAATTAAAGTAATTAAGATAATCAAAAGTAATTAAAATAATTAAGATAATCAAAAGTAATTAAAATAATTAAAAGTATAATTATTTATTTAAAAAAAAACCAATAAACCATCAAAGCTCCAATCAATAATCCTAATATTGGTACTCCTCCTCCTCCTCCTCCTCCTTGAAGATTTTCTCCTTGACATTTGCAACGATCTGATTCTAAAACATTTTTCATTACTTTATATTTTGATAATGATAATAATGAATATAATAATAATAATAATTAATTATAATAACAATAAATGAATAAATTTAATAAAAATGAATATGTTAAAGAGAAGAATTTACAACTTTACCAGAGTCAACATGGCGACCACATCCACCCCAACTAATTTTATGACAAATTTTACAGGTTACTTGCTATTTTTTTAAATAAAACAAACAAACAAACAAATAAATAAAGTGTTTGCGTGCGTGCGTGTGAATACCAAAATGACAAAATGAGAAATGAGAAATACTCACATAACACATTTTTCACAAAAGAATTATTATGATGATAAAAAAAAAAAAGTAAAATGTTTCTTCTGATAATTATTCTTGTAATATGAATAAATTTGAAAGTATTTAATAATAACTCTTTTTATTTCACCCTACAGGAGTATTTATAAAAAAAGAATTGTTCGTATTATTTCCTATTGAAGCATATCCGATATTAAAAAAAAAAAACAATAAAGTTAATTAATTTAGTAGTAGATCTGTAGATCTACTTTTAATGTATTGATTATAGACATTAATAATAGAACAGTTAATAACAATAATTAAATATTATTTATTAAATAATTAAAAATATAAAAAAAGTTCAAATATGTAAATAAATTAATAAATAAAAAATAAATTATATTAATAAATAAAATAAATTATATTAATAAATAAAATAAGTTAAATTATTAAATAAAATTTATGCTTTCGCATTCAACAAATCCATAATACGTTCTAATTTGGGATTTCCACCTAATTTATGAATCATATCACGCACTTGTTGATCAACTTGTGCCAAATAGTTAAGAGTATATTCAAAGGAACCAGATTCTTTCATAAGTTTTACCGCATAATGTTTTAGATCGATAGAAGTTGTATGTTGTTTTAAAATATCTGAAAGAAAAAGGAAAAGAAAGAAATGGGTTAAGGATATTATTTTTTGAATATATATATATATATATATATATATATATTTGGATATATTTATTTAATTTAAATTCAAATAATAATAATTATAATAATAATATTATTATTTTTATTGTTATAACAGAATGATAGATAAGGATACTAATCAATTGTCTATTATTTGGATCTTTATTAATAGAATGTATAATGGGAAAAGAAAATTTTCCCTCTGTCAAATCTTCACAGAATCCTTTATTATCGGCATACTATAAAACAACAAAAATAATCGAAATTAATATAAACGTTATATGAAATATTACATAATTATAATATCTACCTTTTCAGATTGCAAATTCATGTAATCATCACGTATTTGAAACTGAATACCAATAATATTCACAAGAGCTACATATTCGTCATTTCTATAAGAACCAAAAAAAAAAAATCAGAAATCTTAATTTTATAACTAATTTTTTTATAATTCCAATTAATCAAAATAATAACTTACACTTTAGATTTACTGGCTGCTTGCATAAGTTTAACACCTAAACGTAATAATCCTCCAGTTTCTACATATTTAATTAAATTAAATCAACAATAAAAATATTAATTAAAACATTAAATTATATTTATCATATCAATTATTAAACCAATTTATTAAATTATTAAAGAAATCAATTACTATTTGAAACCATTTGAATGTATTCAGGTTCTGTAGGACATGTCAATGTATCTCTCCAATAAAGTTCCATTCCTTGACCACGGTGAAGACATAATAATTCCTCTAAAATAAATAAATAAATATGTAATAATAATAAATAAAAATAAATATGTGATAAATTTATAATGATAAATTTTATAATAATAAAATTTATAATAATATATAATGAATATATTTATACCAGTATAGATAGAATACATATTTGGATCATTAAATTTTTGAATTTCATTTAATGCAAGAAAATAAATATAATTTGCGCAATTAATAGCAGCGGGAATACCATAAATTGTATGTGCGACTATTATAAAATGAAATTAAATATAAAAAAAAATCAAATCAATAAATAATTCAACGATCCACAATTAATGAATCAATAAATCAATAATCAATGATAATAATAATAGACCTGGAACTCCTCTTCGTAAGATTGAATTATCTTCTACATCATCAATTCTATTTTGAATAAAGATGAAATAAAGAGAGATAATAAATATCGGAAATTAAAACCAGGAAGGAAGGAAGAAACTTTTAAAGAAATACATACAATAGACTAGCAGTATGTAACATTTCAACTACAGTGGTGATTAATGCCAATTTATCTTTAGGAACATTAAGCCAATGATCAAATGCATCAATAAATTTTGTTCTAATTTCTTTTCCTGGATTTTCCATAAGATAATTAAATGGTTCTAATAAGATCTTAAGAATCAAAGAAAATAATTTTAATAATACATAATATGATTAATACATATATAATTGTTAATAAAAATAAAATTTGAAATAATATAAAGTAATTAAATAAAATATCAATTGATTAAGATCACCTGTTCTTTATCAGGAGACCAAGAAGAAGCAAATTGAAATGGTAACTTGTTGACATCATTACTATTATTATTATTATTATTATTATTATCCATTATGATTTGTGAATATTTAGAAATATTCTGGGGATATCAAAAAATATGAGGTTTATTTATACCTAAATTATTTTTTTTAAAGTTCAAACTTTTTTTTAAAAAATAAATTACCGAATAAAAAATTTATTTTTCCTAAACTTCCAAACCAGTGATAATAATAATGATATCAATAGTTTGTATCATCCATTACTTTCTTTTTTTTAATCTTGATTTTTTTTTTTTTTTTACATATATATTATATATATTTAAATTTTAAGAAATGATTAAATTTTTATGTACGATGAAAATCAAAACTATTCAGGGACTGAATGGATATTATTTTGGAATAATGTGAATGAGTGAGGCAATAATATATTTGTAACCTATTTATGGTTTGTTTACGTACTTTATCCATTTATCTATCTAAAGTTACAAAATTTAATTTGACTCTGACCAACTTTATTTACTTTCGTACTCAATAACTCTTTTATATGTAAACAAATACAATATATATCTGATATTTCTAATATTTCTAAATATATCTGATGATGATTATCTTAAGGTTAAATTAAGATTAAAATCTAAGGTTACATTATTATTAAAATATAATTAAAAAATACAATTAAATATGTCAATAATATAATAATATTATTGTCTGGAACTTAGCATAATGTACACGTAAGTTACATTTTTGATGCAATATAGGCAAAATATCAAAAACGTAACTTTGGAAAGTATGTATATCAGATTTTTTAATCACTGATGGATCACCTAAGAAGGAAAAATTGATTTTCGCCTTTCTTTTGATTTTCTATGCCAATAATTCGCTTTAATTTCATCTTTTTTAGTTCCAATTCCTTTTCTATAACAATTTCCAAGATTATATTCTCCATTTTTATTTTTTCCTTCAGCTGATCTCGAATACCACTGAAATGCTTTCTCGTGATTTTCCGTAACGCCTATTCCATAAAAGTAACAATTTCCAACATTATTTTGTCCTATATTATTTCCTCCTTTTGCTGATTTTACATAATAATAAAATGCTTTCTCATCGTCTTTAGAAATTCCAATCCCATTTTTATAACAATTTCCAAGGTAATTATATCCACTACTACTTCCTCCTTCGGCCGACTTAGAATACCAATAAAATGCTTTCTCGTGATCTTTTTTTATTCCATTCCCATTTTTATAACAATTTCCAACTTTAATTTGTCCATTACTATTTCCTTTCTTGGCTATTACTAAATAAATTCGAAACGCTTTTTCTTCATCTTTGGTTGTTCCAATTCCATGTTGATAACAATATCCAATACCATATTGTCCATTAATATCTTTCAATTTTGATAATTTCATATACCATTCAAATGCTTTATCATGATTTTTTTTAGTTCCTAATCCATTTAAATAACAATTTGCCAGATTATATTGTCCTAAATTATTTCCTCCTTCGGCCGATTCCAAATACCACTTAAATGCTTTCTTTTCATTTTTTATAGTTCCAATTCCATTTTGATAATAATATCCTATAATATTTTGTCCATTACTATTTCCACTTTCCGCCAATTTTAAGTACCAATGAAATGATTTCTCACTATCTTTTGTAACTCCAATTCCACGTTGATTACAATATCCAAGATTATTTAATCCTTTTTTATTATTATTATTATTATTATTAGCTGCTTTTACGTACCAATTAAATGCTTCTTCTTCATTTTTTACGGTTCCAATCCCATATTGATAAAAATATCCCAAACTATTTTGACTATTACTATTTCCTCCTTTTGCTGATTCTAAATACATTTGAAATGCTTTCTCTTCATCTTTTATAGTTCCAAAACCATATTGATAACAATTTCCAAGACAATTTTGACCATTACTATTACCTCTCATAGATGATTTTAAATACCAATTAAATGCTTCTTCATTATTTTTTGTAACTCCAATTCCATTTTCATAACAATATCCTACATTACATTCTCCATAACTATTTTCTCTTTTTGCAGATTCCATGTACCAATAAAATGCTCTTTTTTCATCTTTTTCAGTTCCAATTCCATTTAAATAACAATATCCAAGATCATTTTGACTAATATCATGACCTCCTTTCGCAGAATTTGAATACCAATAAATTGTTTTCTTATCATCTTTCATGATTCCAATTCCATCCTTATAACAATTTCCCACATTATGCATTCCCCAAAAATTTCCTCCTTCCGCTGATTTTAAGTACCAATTAAATGCAAATTCATCATTTTTTTGTGTTCCAATTCCATTTTGATAACAATAACCTAAATCATTTTGACCATCACTATTTCCTCCATTGGCAGATTTCAAATACCAATAAAATGCTATCTTATGATCTTTCGTAGTTCCAATTCCATGTTGATAACAATTTCCCAAATAATCATGTCCTAAATAATTATCATCACATTTAATTGATTCTACGTACCAATGAAACGCTTTTTTCGGATCTTTGTCAATTCCAATTCCATGTTGATAACAATAACCGAGATTAATTTGTCCTAATTCATTTCCTCTCAAAGCAGATCTTTTATACCACTCGAATGCGTATTTTTCATTTTTTTTAACTCCTATTCCATTTTGATAACAATGACCGACATCATTTTGAGCAATAGAATTTTCTGCTAATGCAGATTTCAAGTACAATAGAAATGCTTTTTTTTCATCTTTGGTAACACCAATTCCATGATAATAACAATCCGCAAGATCAAGTTGTCCTTGAGGATCTCCCTCCCTAGCGGATTTTAAATATTCTCGATATACTTTCGTATCATTGTCGATATTATTATTATTTATATTTTGATTCATTTGATTTATATATTTGATATTTTATTTTACACAACGATGGCAGATTTGATATTTGGTTAAAATGCATTAAATGTAAAGAATCATGTATTATATAATTTCATGACAGTGAAACAAATTTTATGTTTTATGTTGTATGTTGTGTTGAATATGTATATGTATATATATATATATATATATATTAAATTTTCAAGTAATTATCAAATTTCAAAAACCTAATACTTATAATAAATATCGGATATATATCTATATCTATATAGCTTTTATGAAATTCGCGCACGCTATTTTTTTTTTTTATGAAACCTTATTACATTATTGTTTATATTATTATTATCATCTTTTTTTTACACCTTTTTCCGATTCGTTTAACCAACATTGTTTTGATATACCGAAATTGGGTAGTCATATAGAAAAGCATATCGTCGTACATTAACATGATTTAAGTAATATCGAATCATTTTTTATAAATTACTGGATATTATGAATGTATGACACGGCTTTTTTTGAAAAACAAATAAAAAAACAAATAAATAAATAAAAAGTTTATTACAAAACATGTATGTAAATATACATATTTTTAACATGCGAAAAACAATGGTCAAAAACATATTGTAATACTTCTTTATCATATAATTTTATCATTAATCCATTTTTATAAGAAAAATCTTTTACTCCTTAATTTTACTTAGGAAATTGTTAAATTAAGCCATAAATTTTAAATGATAAATCAAGTGTTTAGATATGTGAAAAATAAAATTTTTATACAATAAAATCAATAAATCGAAGAATTAATAGAATTCAATCAAATAATTTAGAATGGAAACTTTTATTAAAGTTATTAGAAATTGTCCTTTAGACTAAATTATTCCCTTAGAAATTATTCTGATCCATTTTTTATTATAAAGTGCTCTTAATATTCTTGATATGATTATATTCATGAAAGAAAAAACCAGTTATAAAAAATCCTTATTATAATTAATGATATTAATTATATTAACTAATTTTTTATATTAATTCAAGAGAAAACTTTAAAAGATGATAAATTTGCCATCACACAAAAAAAAATTGAAACCAATAAACATATTTTGAATTGTGTGATAATTGACTTTACCAAATTAACCTTGGTAGGTATTCTTATACTTATTACATTATTAATTATTATTAGTTATTATTAAATATTAATCATTATTTATTATAGATATCAAATAAATAGAAAACTGCGAATCAATATCATCTGTGAAATGTAATGCGTCAATGAAAGTTATAAAAAAAAAAAAAATTGGTTACAATTAATCGAAGAATTTTGTAGGAGGCATGTTTAACTTTCTTTCCAAATTTCCAAATTAGTAGATTTCTACAATTTTGAGTACATGCATAAAAAATATAAATCTGGTTCTTTTATATTGGGGTGAATTAAAATAATATTTTTCGATTTTCAATACAAAAATACAAAATAAACCCTCTAATTAATCAGTATTAATCAGTATTAGCCAGTATTAATCAGTGTTAATCAGTGTTAACCAGTAATAAGTATACTTTCTTATATTAAATTACTTACTTGAGCCATTGAATTAAAAATAAATAAATTCATCCATGAATATCACAGAAACGTAATTTGATTTATGCACGTTCTCTCACTCATCGAAATAATAATAACTTAAAAAGTAGTTTAATATAATAATTTAATAACATAATTTAGAAAATAATATAATTTAATTAATGTGCATCTTAAACATGATATTTAAATTTGATTTATAAAAATATATGCATCAAATAATTTAATAAAGGAATTTTTCCGCTTTTTCTATAATAATAATAATGATAATAGTAATAATAAAATGTTTACCTTATCGTCATTTTCTATTCGCTCGAGTTAAGAAACCTACAAATAGAGACGACGCATAGGCACAGGCCACGATCAACACGGTCCTATACGCCGCCACTTACCTCAAAATCCCAGTATCTTTCATAACCTTCTAAAATCTTCTTTCTTCTAAACCTACAAATTGAAAAAACGCGTACCTCAAATCCAAGTATATCTTCCTAATAGTTGTGAGAAAGAAAAGAAATAAAAAATCAAGGTTAATACTTTGTTATATTAGAAAAAGCGGAAAAAAAACAAAGAAAAAACGAGAAAGTGTAATTAAGAAAAAAAAAAAGCGGAAGAAAAGAAAAGTGAGGTTTTAAAAGTTTCTTTAAGATTGAAACACATGAAGCAAAGCGTGATCATGGAAACTTTTATGATCATGCGTGATATCAGAGATATCAGGTATATAATATACAAAATTTCCTTTTTTGAAAACAAACCAAAGAATAGCAAAATGTGATAAGATTGATGATTTCAGAATATGTTTCTGAATCAGATTTTTTTGTTTTCTCCCAACTTTTTTTCTGTAACTTCTTTTTTCATTTTTTCTCCGCTTTTCTAATTTCAAGTTTACTATTATTATCATTAAAGAATAAAATATTAACCTTTTTTCTTTCTTTCTTTTCTTTCTCACAACTATTAGGACGATATACTTGGATTTGAGGTACGCGTTTTTTCGATTTGTAGGTTTAGAAGAAAGAAGATTTTAGAAGGTTATGAAGATACTGGGATTTTGAGGTAAGTGGCGGCGTATAGGACCGTGTTGATCGTGGCCTGTGCCTATGCGTCGTCTCTATTTGTAGGTTTCTTAACTCGAGCGAATAGAAAATGACGAAAAAATGTAAGTGTTTTTAAAATTTATTTGATAGAAGAGCGGAGAAATTTTCATGTATATATTTTTATTATTTTGTAATATTTTTATAATTTGTAATATTTTATTTTCTTAATTAATAGAATAAAAATTTTAAAAGAAGTATTGAAATTATCTTTATTTCTAATTAAAAAGTGCTCATTACATATTATTTGGGTTGAGTGGTACATGTATACATCCGAAAAAAAAAGAGCAAAAAATATATGAATGATTTTTACTTCGTTTAGATGGTTAAAAAATACATGACATTTTTGAGACAAACTAGTGTTTGAAGTGTTAGAGGGACGAGTTATTCTTCGAAGCCTTTTGTTGTTAAATTCTTCGAGATGAATTATAATATTGAAGGTGAGATATGAAGTCTAATGAAAGTTGAGAAGAGAGATATATCATTTTAAATATTTTACATCAAACTTTCATTTCATTTTAGAATCATCATCATCACCACATCATTAAATTCTTTAAAATTTTCATCATCGATTATTTTTGAAATTGTTAAAGTAGAAGTCATGAAATCAATGAAAAGAACTTAAAATGCTAGATATGCCAGATTAAATAAACGAAGTATTGATGATTCAGAGGACTTTTCCGATTCGTCAATAACATTAGAAGGTAGAATCTATTTATAAAATAGATTTGAAAGAACGAGAAAGAGAATATAATTTAAATAATGCAAAACAAATAATAAAAAATATACTTCAAAAAAATAATCTGAAAAAATACACGAAATCAAAAATCTCATGAACGTCTCAAATAATCTAAAGAAGAAACTACCTCGAACAGTGATGATAAATTGATTATACCAGTTTCAATGAAAAGTTTGAAAAAGATAATGTAATATTTGTAAATGTTGTCGATGAGAAAGATTGATGAACTTTGGGTTGGGTTTGAGAAAAAAAAAAGATATGATTCTAAATTTTGGTAAAAATAAATTTTTTTTACAAGATCAAAATCATTAATGATTGAGTTACTCACATTAAGTCTGGTGCGTTATTATTTATTATTATTTAACAATCATTTTTAGTTATGGAGGACAATTATTGTTACGTATGCACAATTATTCCACGTCGTGGTGAAACTGATTTCGGAATTTCGAAAATGTTGGTTATATATCATATATGATACTTGAATTGGTAAAGATAATAATCCTAAAATCCTATTTATATTTCGCATACAAATACATATCATTTTTTCATTGATTACTATGTTTATTGGTAAGTTTATTTTTTTTTTTTCTTATCAAGTTTTTTATCAAGTTAATGAATGAATTAGGTTTTAATTAAGTCTTAATTAAGGGTTTCGAATCAAAGATTTTTGAATTAATTCTTTGGTAGTCTTTATGTTTCAAATATGCTCAGTTTAACAATCTTCAGCCAATCCTACTGTTTTGTATCTAAATATATTCTTTTGCATTATAATTATTTTTCAATAATTTTTTAAATAATTTTTTAAATAAAATAATTTTTAATAATAATTTTTGGTAATTTGATAACGAAGTCCTTTGATAAATTATTTTTCCAATTTAGAATGATCCCTCATGTCATTTGCATTTCACCTGACTTAATTGTCAATACATTTATTCCCGATATATCATGAATATAATTGGCGTTATAATTTGTCATCCTATTAAGGGCAGTCACATGACATTACAACATGTGAAACATTTATTTGTTTATCTGGTTTATCTGAAAAGAATTTTTATCGGGAACTTTATTTTTCTTTAAAAGGATCTTTACTTTCTTTCTTTTCATTAATAATATTTTTTTTCGTTTATTCGTCACAAAATGGAATGGTTGATGATCCATTCATACTATCTTTTTGTAAATTTGTAAATTAATTTTTTGAAAAGAAACATTTCTCCAAATTAAAAAACTTGAAAAAAAAACCCCTTGTTATGAATTAGTGTTACGGACGTATATTAAAAATTAATCAAACACTTTAGGCTAGCATCAAAAGTTTAAAATCCTTATAATTCATATATATATATAACCGTATCAATTTTTTCTTAAATTTTTTATGATTCTTCTCTCTCCGTTCAATTTTTCTTCTAGACTTTTAAATAATGGAAAAATCAACATACTATCAAAGAGAAAACAGACAACCTTCTTTATCAAGTCAGAATAGTTTTGATGATGGTTATAATTCTAAAGAGTTAAATTCTGAAAATTATAATTCACCTTCTACTTCACGTTTTAGACGAAAAGAATCATATTCATCGGAGAGAGAAAATCGATTTTTGACGGGTTTAAAAAATCCATCATCTAATCGTGAACATTCCAATAGTTCATTTATTCCAAAAGGAAAAAAGACGTAAATTTTAAAATATATTTTCTGATTATTATTTATTTTTTTTATTTATTTTGTTTGTACATTGCATTATCTTTCTAGGACATATCCGAACAGTAATGATGATGATCATGATGGCGATGATGATGATGATGATGATGATGGTAATGATGATGATGATGATGACAAGTCGAATAATAACGGTTCAGATGATGATTCATACCAATCTGAGGTAAATATATCAGATGAACCCTATAATTGTCACACTGCATCACGCAGGTGAAAAATAACTTCAAAAAAAAAATTTTTTTTTTTTTCTAGTACATAGACCCAAATCGTGAAAATGAGTTAAGAACAGAGCTGCAGCGTAAATTTTATTATTTTTTCGAAGAACCTAAAACATTCTGGGCGAAGGCTTTTTCTGCATTCTCTTTATTTCTATCCTTATTGGTAATATTAATAATTTGTGTGGAAAGTTTACCTTCTACTTGGCCTTGGACTACTCGAGAAAATTATCTTCGCATATGGTAAATCTTCTACGCCACGTTTGATATCGTACATAATATATAGATATTTCATATATATATATGTAATTTTATTTATACACAGGCTGCCTCTTGATGCTATTACCATTATCACATTTTCGGTAGATTATGGTGGAAGACTTTATGCTTCGATAAATAGGGTTAAATTTATTACTCGTACGTTATCTCCTAAATAATATTTTGTGGTATGATATAGGAAGAGGATGGAAATTTTAAATCAATTAAATTAATTAATTAATTAAAAATTTACAGATCCCATAAATTTAATTGATACACTTTCGATCGCGCCGTTTTATTTCCAATTTATACTTTTATTTATACCAAATGTATTATTAATTTTTTATTTATTATTATTTGTCCCAATTTTATTAGTAAAATTAATTAATTATTTTAATTAATTATTTATTTCTTATAAAATTAGGTATATTATAATGAATTAAGTCTTACACTTCGAATCTTCCGAGCGCTTCGATTTCTTAGGATTTTGAGATTGTTTAGAATTTCAAAACATGCTTTAGGATATAATGTAAATTATGCAGTATATTTACTTATGCAATATATTTATGCAGTTATATTTATGATATCTATTTATAATTATAAATCTAATTTTATCATTTTGCTTTAGATAGCATACAGGGTATTTCGTCGTTCAGCATATCAACTTTTTGTGGTTCTTATTTATGTGTTATTGATTATATTATCTTCCTCAGCATTATTGTGGATCATTGAACGTGGTACATTTGATTTAAGTGATAATACTTATTATCGTATTAATGAACAAGGTCAACGTGAAAAAAGTCCATTTCAATCAATAATTCATAGTTTTTGGTGGTCAATAGTTACTTTAACTACTACAGGTTATGGTGATTATATTCCTGCATCACCAATTGGTAAAGTAATTGCCGCATTAACTATGACTTGTGGAATTATGGTAATAGCTTTACCTACTTCCATTATTGGATCAAATTTCATGGCGGAATGGCAAGAACGAAGAAGAATTCGATTTCAAAGGAGATTTCGTAATACACAAGAACAATATGGTACAATTTATGATAATTATCAATTGAGCAAAAGTAAAAGATTAAAACAATTTAAAGAAAATAATCAAATATTACATAAGACGATTAATGACATTCAAGAACATTTAGCTGATATTAATCCACCAAGATATTATAAAAGATACAAGGAACTTCAACTAAAATATATTAAAGCACTGGAAAAAATTAAAGAATTTGAAGATAAGGAAGCAAAATATAAACGTTTTAACAAAAATCTTGAACGTTACTTTTTATTTCATCGGGATAATTATGATAATGATGATAATGGAAAAGGAAAATTTGATAAAAGTTACACTGATTCTGATGATATAGATGAAACGAAATTCCAAAAACTTTTACATCATCCTTTTTTAAAAGCAAAAACTACTTCAAATATTGAACTTGACAAACAATTTAATGATTCTACAAAAAATTTTGGTAAAAAAATAAAAGATATACCAAGAAAAATAAGAAATTCTACAATTCGAAAATTAAAGATTGGTTCATCGCGAGATCCTATAGATAAAAATATGATAAAAATTAGTCTACCAAAAGAAATATTCAAAAATTATAACCTTATTTCAGACTCGACGTATGATATATCTAATAATAATTCAATAATGAGAAGACGTAGATCAAGTCTTCCCTCAATTTCTTTTGGTTCTCTTCCCATTACTAATCATACAAAGCCTGAAGATAATTTAAAGAATATTAAAGAAAAAAATGAATCATTAACAGGCGAGAGTGAGAATAATAATAATGGTTGGAATAGTGTTGGTGGTAGTAATAGTAGTAATAAAAATTATAGAAATTATAGTGAAAAGGAAGAAAACAATGAATATAGTGAAGAAGGAAATGAAATAAAAATAATAATAGAAAAATGAAAAAAAAATGAAACTGATAAATATAAATATTGTAAAAAAAAGAACAATCGCTAGAAATTAAATTAAAAAATTCTTGAATCTTTAAAAAAAAATTAGATTAGAATTGTTTATCACATCACAAATCAATAATAAAAAAAACAATATATCTGTTGTAATATTGTAACACGTACATCACATGACAGATGGCGTTATTTTAAACATTTTTCACAAACAGCACAGCAATTTACTCTCTTCTCATTTTTGATACGTAAAGAAAAATAATTTTACATGTCATCCACAAAGTACGTTATTAACATTTTTATTATATTTTATATTTGACAATTGAATTTTTTTTTATTTTATTTTTTTTATTTTCAAATAAATCATAATAATAAATAATAATAATAATACTAACTGTTTATATTATTTATTTTATCATATCAATTGTGATGATCATAATAATAATAATAATATCAATGATAACAAAAAATATAGCAATCACACCAGTGGTAACTTTACACTTGGTCTTAGTGTTGGTATAATAATTGGAGTGACGGGAAGTTATTTATTTCGACAATTCTTTCCTGACTCCGATACGAATAACCATCATCATCATCATCATCATCGTCACAATCGTCATCATCATCAATCAAATCATAAAAATAAGAATAAAAATATTCATCTTCGTTCTTTTCCTTCTCCTCTTTACGAAAACAATGATGATGATTCATTATTATCACCGGATGAAATTTTTGTTACGGAACTCACCAAATTTCAAAATCATCACGATGAAAATAATGATAATAACGACGACGATATTATAAATGACATAAATGATATTAATAATATAAATAATGAAAATTATAGTGATGGGATTAGTAGTTCTTCAAGTAATAGAAGTGTAGAATCATTAGAACAAGAAATCCTAAATTTAGAACAAATTAAAGATCGAATTATACAAAGAAGATGTCGAGAGAAAGCATCATTTGAAGTGAAAATGGATTCAATACTTAAAACTATTATGATGATTGAATCGAGAATTGAAGAATTAGAACAACAAATTTCAAGAGAAAGAATTAGATTAAATATTTTGGGTAATGGTGGAGATCAGTATTTATCTAATCTAACAAATATTGCGGTGATTGCAAAGTAATATAATATAATTAAAATAAAATAAATAATAATAATTTATTAAAATTTATAAAAAGAATAAAGTGGTAAAAAAATATTAAGGTGGATGATGAGCTATTGAGTGATAAAGATTTTGGAGAGAATTATAGAATTTAGAGGATTTTTTTTTTTTTTTGAGAGTTTAGTATTAAATATTTCGTCATTTCCATTAGCAACCAACAAATGAGAAAATATATAAAACATGCAAACAAAAAAAGCAGTTTAAATGAAATAGAAAATAATTAGAAAACGTAACGACATATTAATAAAATATTAAATGATTTATTAATATTCATATTTAAAGATTAGACAACAATGTAAAGTTTTTAAAAATAATCAATTGAATTTAATTATTTAATTATTTAATTGATTTTGAACCTTTTTTTACAAGTTGAAATTTTATTTAAATGTCATTTATACGTTAGGAATAGAATACAACTAAAGTATCTCTTTTACTTTTATTTTTTGAATCTTAACAAAAGAAGAAGAGATCAATCGATAATTTTATTTTCTTTTTTATGTTTGCTTTTAACTATGCAATCTTTATTAGATAGGTTTTCTAACATCAGGAAATTTAATGTCATTACCCGCTTGCATTTAGGATAATATTAATAATTATAAAAGATTATATTTTATTCTTATAATGTTCTTGTTCAATAAAATCTATGTAAATGATTTATTTAATAAAGGTTAGGTTATTAGAGAACGTTTATTCTTATACTGATTTTGTTCAGTCAGTGTGTTTGAGGTAATCCTCTCCGAACGTACAATTATATAAAATTATTGATATTTATGTATTGTACAGAAATCACAAGAGAAGATCTTTTATTTTCAAATTTTCTCAGGATCGAGACCAGGTGTATAAAGTTTCGACGTGTTGATTTGATTTTTGATTATCGTATCGTGAATTTTAGAATATGAAAAAAAAGCGCAAGAACTCTGAAAAAATTATTTAAATTAAGGATTCACTTATTACTTTAACTAAAAAGAAAACCAACTTAAAAATCAAAAAATTTTTTTACAAAAATAATTAACTGTTAAATGAGCATTTTGAAAAGAAATAAGATAATTAAATCCAAAATTTCTTTAATAAAATTTTATAAATGATACTTTCATTATTCAAAAAAAAAAATTTAATTATTAAAAATAACTTTTTATATTATTTGATAAAATTTTTTATGTATAATTAAAATACATGCCGCCTAAATTCAAAAAAGACATTAAAAATAGGATAATTAATTTAAAATCGGCTCGGCCAAAAAAGGGATACAAAATGTGTGTTACCAAATTTATTGTAACATTAACTTCTCCATTCTTTATTACAATATCGAACCCAAAAGTTTCATCAAAAACAGATTATAATCAATTGCATTTACATTATTTATGTTAAATTACGGGGAAGACGAGTGAGTATTTAGATTTATATAATTGAAATCAACGTTTCAAGCTAATCTAACATCTAATAATATAATACTTCTTAATTAATTATCATGTAATTTAATTGAACACATATCTTATTACAGAACGTGAGTATTTAGATTTATATAGTTGAAATCAAAGTTTCAAGCTAATAAACATCTAACTTTAATTAATTATCTTGTAATCGAATACATATCTTATTACAGATTGTGAGTATTTAGATTATATAATTGAAAAATCAAAGTTTCAATCTAATCCAACATCTAACTTTAATTAATTATCACATAATTGAATACATATTTATTACAGGATGTGAGTATTTACATTTATATATTGAAAACAATGCTTCAGGCTAATCTAACATCCTTAATACTTCTTTAATTAATTATCTGTCATTGAAATCAAAGTTTCAAGCTAATCCAACATCTAACTTTAATTATTTATAATGTAATTGAATACGTATCTTATTACAGCTTGTGAGTATTTAGATTTATACAGTTGAATCAAAGTTTCAAACTTATCTAACATCTAATAATACTTCTTTAACTAATTATCATGTAATTGAATATATATCTTATTATAGATTGTGAGTATTTGGATTTGAATAGTTGAAATTAAAGTTTCAATCTAATCCCACATATAACTTTAATTAATTATCATGTAATTGAATATATATCTTATTATAGGAAGTGAGTATTTAGATTTAGATTTATATAAGTTTCAAGCCAATCCAATATCTAACTATCAAGTAATTGAATACGTATCTTATTATAGATTGTGAGTATTTAGATTTATATAATTGAAAAATCAAAGTTTCAATCTAATCCAACATCTAATTTTAATTCATATCTTATTACAGCATGTGAGTATTTAGATTTGTATAGTTGAAATCAAAGTTTCTTCAATTAATTATCATATAATTAAATACGTATCTTATTACAGCTTGTAAGTATTTAGATTTATATAGTTTAAATTAAAGTTTCAAGCTAATTCAACATCAAACTTTAATTATTTATCATGTAATTGAATATATATCTTATTAAGAGGGGTGAGTATTTAGATTCGTGTAATTGAAATCAAAGTTTCAATCTAATCAAAATCTAACTTTAATTAATTATCATATAATTGAATACATATCTTATTACAGATTGTGAGTATTTAGATTTATATAATTGAAAAATCAAAGTTTCAATCTAATCCAACATCTAATTTTAATACATATGTTATTACAGCATGTGAGTATTTAGATTTGTATAGTTGAAATCAAAGTTTCAATCTAACTTTAATTAACTATCATATAATTAAATACATATATTACAGACTGTGAGTATTTAGATTTATATAATTGAAGTCAAAATTTAATCTAATCCATCTTCTTACTTTAATTAATTATCATGTAATTGAATACATATCTTATTACAAGGCGTAAGTATATATTTGAAATCAAAGTTTCAGCTAATATAACATCTAACTTTAACTAATTATCATGTAATCGAATACATTTTTCATTACAGGATGTGAGTATTTAGATTTTTATAATTGAAATCAAAGTTTCAAGCTAATCCAACATCTAACTTTAATTAACTATAATTTAATTTAATACAGTTTTTGTTACTCCTTGTGAGTATTTAGATTTATATAGTTGAAATCAAAGTTTCAGGTTAATCTAACATCTAACTTTAATTAATTATTATGTAAATGATACATATCTTATTACAGCTTGTGAGTATTTAGATTTATATAGTTGAAACCAAAGTTTCAATCTAATCCAACATCTAACTTTAATTAATTATCACATAATTGAATACATATCTTAATATCTTACTACAGTGTGTGAGTATTTAGATTTATATGGTTGAAATCAAGGTTTCAAGCTAATCTAACATCTAATAATACTTCTTTAATTAATTATAATGTAATTGAATACATATCTTATTACAGAGAGTGAGTATTTAGATTTTAATAATTGAAATCAAAGTTTCAAACTTATTTAACATCTAATAATACTTCTTTAATTAATTATCATGTAATTGAATACATATCTTATTACAGTTTGTGAGTATTTAGATTTATGTAGTTGAAATCAAAGTTTCAAACTTATCTAAAATCTGATAATACTTCTTTAATTAATTATCATGTAATTTAATTGAATACATGTCTTATTACAGGACGTGAGTATTTAGATTTATATAGTTGAAATAAAAGTTTCAAGCTAATCCAACATCTAACTTTAATTAATTATCTTGTAATTGAATACATATCTTATTACAGATTGTGAGTATTTAGATTTATATAATTGAAATCAATCTAATCAACATCTAACTTTAATTGATTATCACATAATTGAATACATATCTACTACAGGATGTGAGTATTTAGATTTATATAATTGAAAACAAAGTTTCAGGCTAATCTAACATCCTTAATACTTCTTTAATTAATTATTGAATACATGCCTTATTACAGAGAGTGAGTATTAGATTCATATAATTGAAATCAAAGTTTCAAGCTAATCCAACATCTAACTTTAATACGTATCTTATTACAGCTTGTGAGTATTTAGATTTATATAGTTGAAATCAAAGATTTATGTAGTTGAAATTAAAGATTTATATAGTTGAAATCAAGGTTTCAAGCTAATCTATTACCTAATAATACTTCTTTAATTAATTATCATGTAATTGAATATATGTCTTATTACAGAGTGTGAGTATTTAGATTCATGTAGTTGGAATCAAAGTTTCAAGCTAATCCAACATCTAAATTTAATTAATTATCACATAATTGAATACATATCTTATTACAGGACGTGAGTATTTAGATATATATAGTTGAAATCAAAGTTTCAAGCTAATCTAACATCTAACTTTAATTAATTATCATGTTATTGAATACATATCTTATTTCAGAGAGTAAGTATTTAGATTTATATAATTGAAATAAAAGTTTCAAACTAATCTAACATCTAATAATACTTCTTTAATTAATTATTATCATATGCATGTCTTATTACAGAGAGTAAGTATTTAAATTTATACAGTTGAGTTGAAATCAAAATTTAAAGCAAATCTAACATCCTTAATACTTCTTTAATTAATTATCTGTATTTGAATACATGCCTCATTACAGGGAGTGAGTGTTGGATTAATATAATTGAAATCAAAGTTTCAAGCTAATCAAACATCCTAATAATACCTTAATTAATTATCTACAGATCTAATTATAGGATGTGAGTATTTAGTTGAAATCAAAGTTTCAAGCTTTTATAACATATAATAATACTTCCTTAATTAATCATCACATAATTGAATACATATCTTATTACAGAAAGTGAGTATTTAATTTTATATAATTGAAATCAAAGTTTCAAGCTAATTTAATATCTTATAATGCTTCTTTACTTAATTATCTCATATCTTGTCACAGGGGGTGAGTATGGTTAAGATCAAAGTTTCAAGCTAACCCAACATCTAATAATACTTTAATTGATTATCCATATATCTTATTACAGGATGTGAGTATTTAAATTCATGATCATCAAATAATAATTGAAAATTTCAAACTAACTCAATTCATATAATATTTCTATAAATCAATTGAATGCGCATTCTTTTACAGAAAGTAAGTATATCGATCATTATAATTGAAGCCAAAATTTAAAGTTAAATTAATATTTATTAATGCTCTTAATTATCATAATAATAATACAGGAGGTGAGTAGCTAGATTTTTAATCAAAGTTTTAAAATAATTAATTTAATATCAATTTTCTTTTCTAATCTATTGTATATGTAGGAGGTAAGCATTTATATTTATAACAGTTATTTTTGATTTTGAAGTTTTTATATAATTTTAAATAATATATTTTAGTGATGACAAAGAATATGGAAAATGCAAAGACTGTCAACAAGATAACACTGGGTATAAATGGTGCAATACATGTAATAGCATAAGATTTCAAAGTGAATTTAATAAATGGACAAGTGAAGATGCAGAAATTGATGAGTTTATTCAACAAACTCAACTCAAGGCAACTAATTATGAAGAAGTTATTGAATGGATTCCATTTGATAGATTTAATAAGGTTGAACATTTTGCTAAAGGAGGTTTTGGCAAAGTTTTCAGGGCAATATGGTCTAATGGATTTATTCAGCATTGGGATTATGAAAATAATAATTGGAATAGAGGGGGTGATCAAGGTGTTTGTTTAAAAAGTCTTAATGCCTCTACATTTAAACATGAATTTTTACAAGAGGTGAGATATTTTATATTATTTAATTTTTATTATATAAATAAATAATACAATGATTATTTTTATTAAGACTAATTAATATTTTAGATAAAAAATCAACTCAAATTTCGAGGTCCATGGGCAATTGCAATTTATGGCATAACTAAAAATCCAGTAGAAAAAGAATATATGATGGTTATGAAATATGCAAGATATGGTAGTCTACGAAATATGTTAAATATTTTCTTTAAATATTTAATTCCGAGACAAAAAATTAAAATTTTATTTTACATAGCTTCAGGACTTGCTAAAATTCATGAAAATGACTTAATGCACAAAGATTTTCACTCTGGAAATATAGTTAATGAAAGTCTAGTCAATTCTTATATCACTGATTTTGGTTTGTGTAAGCCAGTGTCACAAAATGGTAAAGAAAAAATTTATGGAGTACTTCCATTTATGGCACCTGAGACATTGAATGGAGGTGAATATACTCAAGCATCTGACATTTACTCTTTTGGCATGATAATGTTAGAAGTTCTTACCAGTTACCCACCTTATTATAATATTCCACATGATGAAAAACTTGCAATGTTGATTTGTGAAGGACATAAACCTGAAATTATGTGTGAGATTCCACAATTTCTCAAAGATTTAATGGAAAAATGTTGGGATACTGATCCTTTCAATCGTCCAACTGCTAAAGAATTGGAATCTCAACTTTCTTTATATTCTGATGATAATAGAGAGCTAAAAAAACGGGTTGAAAATGTTAACAATATCGTTCAATATATGTTTGTGTCTCTACCATTTCTCATAAATTTAATGAAACAGTGTTGGGATAATTATAAGTTAAAAATACAGATTGAAAAAGCTGACAAGGCTAATAAGTCAAATAAGAATTTCATTCAATATAATCCAGAAATAACACACCCTCACGCAATATATACAAGCAGACATTTGCCTTTTCTGAAATCAAAGAAAACTGAATTTATTATACATGGTAATTATATTTTTTATATACAGTAATAAATAATTGTTTTATGAATATTTACATAAATTATTTATTTTAGATACAAAACAGTGGGATTTTGAAATTCAAGATATAAGTGAGTATTATATTTCTTGAATTATTTGTTTAAATATGTTTAATTTAAAAAGATAATTAACAACATTTAAAATTGTGTAGTCGAAGAAAATGAAATTCCGGAGAATTAACCATTAATTTGTTATCTGTTTAGTTCTTTATATTATTATCTCAACTTTAATATTTTATCTATATTAGCAACAGTTATATTTATATTTATATCATTTTAATTTTATATCTTAAATGTTTATTTTATTTATTCACTGGAATGATAGAGTATAGCATTTTATCATCATGTAAAATAATAGAACAATTATTTTTTAATACATGATTAAAGTATTTTTTTTTCATTAAGGTTATTTATATTTTTTTTTTTTTTTTACAAAAATCTGAAATTTATTCCTTTGAATATAAATCAATTCTAGTTATTTTCGGATTTTTTTCGAATTTGAAGGGTTTATTAAAGATATTAATCATTGCTATTAAAAAAAAAAAATAATTATTGAAAAAATTTACTTAATTGACATCTACATGTTTCACATATCTGTTCTGTTACGTAATTATTATAAGTGTCAGACTTATGCTCTACAGAGGGTTACGCGTTAAATGGCACAGCATTTACGTCACAAAACCGTATGTCATAACTTGTATAATTTAGATTAGACGTTTGACGTAAAGACATAAACATATGACGTAACCATATATAAATTATATATCATATACTGTATTATATGACGTAACTAGTTAAGTCATATAAAACTTATGACGTACACAATGACGTAACTTTGAAGTATAAGTTATAAAAAATTGATTAGGTGCTTTTGGTGCTACGAAAATGGCATGACTAAGTTATATCAGCGCTATAACGATACTTAACTCTGTAATACTTTGCGTCATTAACTTTATTTTTTTAAAATAAAGTAACCACCCACCACCATCATCATTAGATAAACGAAATAACAATGAATAATAATAAGAAATCGTCAAACTTCAAATCTAATAATCATTTATTATCATTATTACTAAAATCCACAACTAACACAATTACCACAATTAATACAATTACCACAATTAACGCAAATAATAATTTTCTCATCGTTTATTTCAAAATGGATGCACATAAAAGAAATACTGAAAATTATCAATCTAGTCTTACTTTAGTTCACCTCAAAAACGAAATATTTGAAAGATTTATATTGAGAATATTAATTACGACTTATTGGAGTCAGTGTGCATGTCGCGATTTAAGGAATCAAATCATTTGGAAGGTAATATTAAAATCATTTCAGATATAGATTATGAATATTATTCACAATCGTATACGTATATTATAATTATTTTAATTATATATTAGTAGATTAATGAGAAACATAAGAAGAAAGTTAAGAATTAGCAATAGTAATAAAAATAACTGTGAAAAAAGTATCCATAGTTAATGAATAGTAAAATGTTTAAAACCATTAGTTTAATTAAAAGAAATAAACATTAATTAAGAACTCACATGACAAAGAAAAAAAAATAGCCCAAAAAAAAAACCATAATAATAGTTAGACAAGAAGGCACTCTAAGCGAATTATGGCATTGGTGGGAGACATAGATGAAAAGGAGCTCACCTCGAATTACATTATATGAATTAATTAAGGGATTTTTAGTATTTAAGATTACATCAATGTTGGAATCTAGAGAAAAGGCCAGGGAAACAATTATTGAAGGAATGATTAGACTCAAAGAATACTTAAAATACTACTGGAAGGAGCGATGTGAAAAAGTGGCAATATTGGAACTGAAAATAATATTACAAATAAACTAAAAAGACAAAAAAAGGAAAAAATATCTTATAGAAGGAAAAACAAGGGGATACAATGACAAGAATAATAATGACAGTTCAGAATCAGTAGAATCTATTAAAGAGAATATAATAAAATAGAACGGATAGAAAAGAATACGATGCCTAAATTTGTGGATGCAAATATAATATTAAGATATAATCATCGGTTCCTAAGGTTACACTCAGGCAACAATGAGTCAGATGGTAAATTACACCTAATCTATTAATAAAAGTTTATTGGGCAAGACTCCGTTGGAAAAAAAAATTTAGACAAGAAAACATGTTTTCGATAAGAAGATGAGAGGTAGGTAGGGTGATTTAAGTAGCATATAAGGAAATCCGTTGACAAAGAAAGAAATTGAAAGTAGATAATTTATTAAAGCTTTCATGTTGTCTACAATATTTTTTTGGATACATCTTCATTATCGATTTTGATAGTTTTAACTACCTTTATTTTATTATGATCTTTACTTGGATGAATTTACCTTATAAATTCGTTTTTTTTAAAAAATGATATTTTCATATCTAAAAGGAAAAAATATGAATCATTATACTCTCAGGTGGCTAAAAAATCCAAATAAACTTACTAACCTCTTCTACTTTTCTAAATTCTCTTTAAGTAATGATTGTCTTGGTTAATGACAAGGTCAAATACATTAATACAAAAATACAGAAGATCATTCCATCAAGCACTGAAGGAAAATAGGATGGCTTGATACAATATATATCTTTTGTCTTTTAATTTTTATTAAATTATCCAAATATAAAATTATTCTCTCAATTAATATAATTATTTTGATTAAATGTTGCTGCTTCTTAAATCTATTGCATTCTTTATTCAATTACATTTTATATGAAATGTAAATGAGAATTATCAAATTAAATTATACAAATTTCTCTGTCCCATGAATGAAAATTTCCTAGATATTGTTGCACTTGTTTTAATTTTCTATTGTATATATGAAAGAAAGAATTTAATAGTTTTTTTATTTATTATTGCATTGAATCAAGTCATTTTTTGTATTAAGCAACTGGACATATTGAATGTATATATGGTAATGGGAATATTGTCAAATTTAAGTAATGAAAATATTAAGTTTATTAAATATAATAATTATAATTTATGAAAGATAATAATAATGGTATTATGCTCAATTTAAAGAATTATTTAAAAATAATTACTGAACTATTAATGAACTTTCTGCTAGTTAAGAATTTTTAAAATTTCGTTTATAAAAAAATTAAGCTAATTAACTATGGATTGAAATGTTGATTCTGTAAATAGCCTTAGTAAATATAAAGTATTGATTCATTTTTTGAAATTATAAAAATTATGTGTCAAACATTAGGATATATTAATTCTTTATTTTTATGTGATTATTAATATTTATTTATAACATTGACAACTTTATACCTTTTTTTTTGTATTTAGCAAAACCAATTTTTCTTCTCCAAAAAGAAACTGTATTATGTGAATTTGCTATATTTAATAAAGATATTTGAATGTTGATTTTTGTGAAATTTATTTGTATAAATTTTCAAATAAAAGAGAAATTGAAAAATGAATTGATTTAAAATAATCATTGGACTTTCAAGAAACTTTCAACTTATTTAATAACAATAAGAATTTTAAGATCTCATTTCTATCTATATGTTCTAAAAAATGAAGATAATGGAACTATATTTTTTATGTTGATTCTTATCAACACCCAATTATTGGATATTAATATCATCAATCTATTATTTCAAAATTATATTATGAGAATTCTTTTTTGAACTTCTGCTTTCTTGGGTTAACTCTAGAGAACATTCACCTTTGACTATAATACTACCTATATGAATCTCTGAGGTAGCTTAATTTTTAAACCATAGACTTTGTTAAGTTTGTAAATGTAATTATAGAATTTATTTATATTTATATAAATTTATAACTTTAATTATTGTATTTAGTAAAGGACATTTTCTTCCCTAAGAAGAAACTAATGTTTATGAAAAACTATGTGAACTTACTATAGATTGTTTTGTGATAATTTTTATTTTTTAAATTTTCTAAATCTATATGTTCTTTACAATATCTTTCACTAATAATCTGTTTATTTAAAAATGATGATAATTATAATAATATTAAATGAACCATCAGACATTCTGAATAATTTTAAGAATTTTTTTTCTATATGGTTGTGTAAAGCTAATCAAAAATTATTATGAAAATTGTTGTCAAAATTATTCTTCAGTTTATCTCTTTTTCTTCCTTTTCTCTTTTAAAATATTGTGGTTGTGGTTGCAATTGGTTATATTGTTGTTGTTGCAACTGACCTGCAACAAAATATGATTCTCTTGTAATTATTTATATTGCTGTTACAATCTTTAATATTGTTATTGATGATTTTGTAGCAACAAAAGATATTGCAATTCCAATTGCTCATCTCATATAATATTAGGTACAGATCTAAGAGATGATCAAATCTAAAGAATCATCTAGTCACTCAATTTACCCAATTAATGTAGTGTTTAAGTTTTAGTTAAAATAAAAAATAATTTTAAATTCTCTAGATTCATCTTTAAATAATTATTTATTATGTTATTGTATAAAAGTGATTTTTTATCAAATATAATTATATATAAGGTTAATACTTATATTTTTATGAATTTGTATATTTTCTCATTAGTTTCCTAATCTTTTGTTCACCCTTAAAGTTATAAGTTATTTATAAATTATTTATTTTTGAATGAAAAGCTAGCTATCTTACGACTTTTGATTATTGTGAGAATTGTTTTATTTTTTAAACAACAAAACTACAGAATGCTATTACTAAATAAAAATTCAATCAAATATTTAATAAAACTACAACATACTGTATCATATACGATTTTAGGATATATGTTTTCAAATATAAATTATATTTCTGTAAATAAGATTTATCCTAGATTATAAAAATAATTAAAATTATAGCTATTTTATAATCATCTAAAACAATTTTATATTTGGTTTGCTCTTAACGATATAAATAATTTTTTCTATGTATGAATAAAAGACAATATGCCATTTCATTATAACATTATTAAATTTTTAATTTTAATTATTTGATTTTTTTTTTTAGAAAATTTTATTTTTATTTAAGATTTTCTTCTTTCTTTTTTTTTTTTTGAGTGTTGTGTTGGAGAGCTGAGCAAAAAATTTCTTTATATATAATGTTTTGGAATCTTCATTACGTGTTTTATGATTTGATATCTCATGTAAAATTAACTGATTTATTTTACGAGATGTGGAAAATCCTATAAATGTGATACAAGACTATCAGCAAAAATAGATATAATAACTGTTATAGAAGTCATTTTATCAAGCCACATTTTCGTTTTCTTTTTCAATTTTCATAGAAATAAGTTTCTTTTCGAAAAAACAAGGATAATTTATAATGATGTCATCTTTATTATAACTTGATAATAATAAAATAATTTCTTATTTTTTTTTTTTAATTTGCTTTTATTTTATTTATTTTTATTAAAAATAAATTCAAATTTGTTCACAAAAAGAATCTTCTCGCAAACATATTAAATGTCTAATTCACATAAATATATGTAATATATTGATATATATGTGATATATTTATCTATCTTATCTATATTATCCATATAAACTACATATATAACATTATATATTATATATGAATATGAAACTTCATTCTCGTTCTTGTCCCATATTTTATAGTCTAGGACGAAACAGTGTAAAGAAGAGAAATAAAACAAAAAGTAAAAATCAAAACAATATAATGTTATCCAATCTTCCAAACGAATTGTTGATTAATATCTTGAGGTTATTACTTGAGTGTACAAGGTTTGTCAATTCTATGAATTGTTGTTAATTTATATTAAATTATATTAAATTAATAAATTTTAAATTATTTTTAAATTATTTTAAATTATATTAAATTATATTAAACCATATTAAATTATATTAATTAATTATTTTAGTTATCAAGAATTATTCAGATTACGAAGCATTTGTAAACATTGGAAAAAACTTATCGCCGTCGTTATTAATGATGAATTATCCAAAAGTTTTAAATATTATTTATGCATAAAAGTATGAACTTTGAAAATTAATTAATTTTTGTAAATTATAAAACTATTTATAATTAATCATATTTTTATTTTTATTATTATTATTTTTTTTTTATTTAGAATGAAATGTATTTACCAATACAAAATGGTAGTACAGTAAAATTAGGACAAATAAAATTCTATGATGGAATCTTTACTCCACCTTCTCCACCTTCTTCTCAGTCATCTTCTCAATCTTCACCTCAATTATCACCACAATCCACCACCACTACTTCTACATCAAAATTTTCGCAAATTTCTATTCCACCTTACATTCATATTACAAAAATATCATCTCATTCTTTATATTACGATAAGAATGCTTGTTATCGAGCAAGTATATTATTATATAATAATAATAGTTCCTTTGAAGATTATTTTCCTGTTAAAGATTTTTTTATAAGAGTTGATACCAAATGTGATGGAAATAAAGAATATTATCATGGTGATGAAATTTCTTATTGTGTAAATTATGATCAAAAAACAAAATTATTTCAATTAATGGATATATCGATTAAAGCTGAAATAGTTTTACAGAGTTTAGATGAAAGTTGGCTTTTATTTTGTCATAAAGATCTGATCTTCGATATTTGAATTTTTTTTGGTCTTAGTTTTACGATTGTTTTTTTTTTAGTTTTTAGCTTTTTTTTTCTATTTTATTTTTATTTTATTTTTATTTTTACCTTTTTTTTTTTTTTTTTTTTTTTTTTTTTGGGGAAGAAATGGAAAGAAAAAAAAAAAAAAAGGGTATAGAAAAAAAAACGAAATTTTTTTTTTTTTTAATAAATTTAATCTGATTAATTATTTTTTTAACTGTATAAATTTGTAAA